AAAAACACTCTTTGTCGTCATATCTTATACGTGATGTATGCACATCTGCTTGTAGTAATAATTGGCAATAAAAACACATTTCAGACGCCACACACCGCTTTATGATAATATTATGTATTATATAGGTATGTATAGCTAGGTACATCATATGCACCTATATATATGAATATATATGATCCGTCTATGATCATTCAAATCACAGCCCATCAACAATAGCGTATTACAATATAGGTAATGTATATATATATATATATATATTTATGTGTGTATCATTATAAAGGTACGCTGCAGACGAGAATCCGTTGAATATTTTATGAGATTTAATGCATATTGCGGTCGACCGAGCAATGTAAATAAAAACGCCGTTTAAAGAATATTATTCTTAGTACGTGCACGTTAAATATTTTATTAGGCCGACCCGTATTCGACTGTGTGTATTTGCCATCATAAAACGATTGCTAATGCGCATGGTAGGTAACATACAATTACATATGTATATAATATATATATATATACAATATACATACATATTTTACGTACCTACATATTATATTAATAATAATAATAATTAATGATATGACATATTATATTATAATTATCATGTAGAATTGTTCCACATTAAAAGTTCGGCCTCAGCGAAGAGTGGTAATGGGGTGTATTGCCATATATACCTATACAACTTACTGGCATTCTATAATAATTTGACGTCGTCGATTCCTGTGAGTATGCAGAGACGAAGAAAAATTATAACGACATACGCCTACATATAATATTATCTCGCGGTAGAACATCAAAGTTTGGAGTGTATAGATATATGCTCCGAGAGATTTTTTTTCCAATCATCGAAACTCGTTTCTAAATTTATTGGATTTTTTTCCGCTTTATATTCAACCGTTTCTTACAGTGTACCTACCTACCTATAATACTGTTTATAACGATATAATTCGAATGTACAAATACGATACCCATAACATTTTAAAATTCATGACGAACCATTGTTTGTTAAATAATTCCGTTGCATTATGATTACGATATAGAACCTATATATAATATAATATATATAAGTACCTACCAAAGTACCAAATACAATACAAATGTACCGTTACGCCGCATGTGTGCAGTAGAAAAAAAACCCGAAGAGAATTACTGCGCGATTAAATAAAATAATAGAATAATATAAGTTAACCACCGCATTCGACCAGTATTCGATGTTACTGTACATATATATGTATATGCACTAAAGGTAGTACCATATAATATATACACACGACGAACAATATTAGTTGTATTAAACGACGACAGCAGCGCAACGCTACTTGTCAATGCGCGATGTGTTTGAGGAACTCGCAAAATCATCTATTCACTCTTCATTCATCAGTATGACAGGAAATCAATGATGGGGCCACTTCCGCAGTCCGCGCTAAAAATACGTATCGTATTATATTTTATATTATATATACATTTACAAAAATAATGACGACGACACAACCATATTTCGTAATGACTCAATCGCTACAACTTACGCGGTGCGCGCTAGAGGATAATTTTTTTAGAAACATTTTTTCGCGTGTGTGAGTGTTGTATGTATGAAGAATGATATTATGGTACTATAGGTGTATATAGCTTATGAATATAAACAATAGATTAACGATCACGGTATCACACGYATATAATATTACAATATCGATTCCAGACAGTTTTCTACTCCGGCGATGTTTCGCGAAACACTACATTTTTTTGACATCTATAGTATATAATAATATAATGATATAATGCGCGTTAATGGGACGTGCTAATAGTATAATATAAGCTCACGATTTTGGTTTGAAACTTTCAATCGATGACCTATTTTTGTACAGTCCAAATATTATTATAGGTACAATTGGACACATAATATTATCATTATTATTTTTATTGAAAGTTAGGCTATTATAGTAGCATTTTTAAGAAAGTATTTGTACGTTTGAGCTTTTTATATTTTCATATGGAAATTTTAGAATTTCATTTTAAACTAAGTGAATATTAAAAACAAATTAAAATGTTATC